ATTGCCACTACCACCAGTGGCGGACCTGTGCAGGCGCAAGGAGGTGCACCTGCACCTCCGGTCGCCGGAAAACTCCATGGAAGCTGCTGAAGTTGCACCTCTGCTCATGCACCGAAGCTGTTTGATGAAAGTCCCCAAAGGGGCTGCTGTTCTGTCTTGCTGCTGCTGCTGCCCTCCTCCAGCGCGCGTCAATTTTTTTTTGCTCCTTCGACGTCAAAACGACGTCGTTCCACTTATGTTTTTTTAAAAACCTGGCCAAAACGATTGTTTTGGCTCAGTTTAAAAATTAAAAAAAACTGAAAAAGAGGCAGCAAAGCTGCTGCCCGATAACTCCCCATCCCCAAATGAGTTTTCACTCGTTTTTTCCATTTTCAAACAACACCCCACACACAACCCCCCCTCTCTCTTTTTAATTTTATAGTTTTTTAGCAGTTCAGCTGTTTTTGCTGGCTTTCTTAGGCACCTTTTGTTTCTGGCTGCCTCCTAGCTTTGCGTGTGTTTCTTTTCTTTATGCTTTGTTTGTTTGTTGCGCTAGCCTGTTTTGGCTGTGTTTATGAAGATCTTTTTGCCCATTTTTTTATATAAAAAAAACCCTAAATCCCCAAAACCCTAATCCTAGCAGACGACATCCTCATTGGTTAGTTTGAATAAATTAGGATTTTTTTAATTAGATTGTATATGCTTTAGTTATATCATATCTTAATAAATTGGATTAGTTTTTGTGTTTGTTAATTAATGAATATTCTTATACATTTTTTGTTTTATTAGTTGTTGGGAATTTATTTTGGTTAGTTTGAATAAATTAGGGGTTTTTGAATAGATTGTATCTGTTAGTTTGTATGCTTTAATTTGTATCTTGCTCATGGAATTTAAACATTAGTATTATTTAAATTATAAAGATATTTAGTTGTCTATTTTTTTTTATTTTTAGCTTTTAGCTTTTAAGAATTGCACCTCCGCTGAAAAATTCCTGGGTCCGCCGCTGTTCGTCCATATGAGATATGGTATGGGGTTCCTACCACTTTGTGCTTAAAAATAAAAGAATGATAGCAACTATGGCCCTTAAACTCAATTAAACTCCATAAACTTTATAACTCTTTTAAAATCATTTAAAATCTAAATTGAATACACATTTGGGAGTAATTTTTGAGTGTTCCCGGTACACCACGTGGTTGGTGTACCATCCAATAGACGGAAGACATATGGAATATGTCCAATACAGTCCGCCACATGTCATAAGAAGAAATGCAGTAGGTTGGATAATAATTCCACATGTTCTATGTTTATTGGATGGTACACCAGACACGTGGTGTACCTGGAACATTTAAAAATTTCTCCACATTTGGGCTGTGTTTGGAAGTACTCTATTTCTGTTTCTGTTCTATCGGGGTTCCTTTGGGAGATGGGCTGCTTTGCTCCCACACCCTTTGTAATGTCTCTTTGTGGTTGTTTTTCTACGAAATATCAGCCTCTTCAACCAAAAGAAAAAATACCATTATTTTTTTATCATACCAGAAGAAATTAGAAATGGCTGAAATTGCTTGCTGCAAAATTCACTCCTACAATCAAATAGGAAAATCCCAAACTGAGTTTTACATATAATTGAAAGGAGAGTAAGAAAGCGGACCTTCATGACTTCTCTTTCTACTTGTCAATTACTTGCATCGCACTCTACATGCATTGCATGTCTGTGATGCTTCTACTACTTTACAATATGGAGAAACTGTTTTTTATTACAACATAACATTGCAATGCCATCGACTGACCTTCCATGCAATTAATTTTATGCATCACATATATCACTTTCCCATGCTAAAGAAACCAAATGCTAAAATACTGCAGTTTTCAATTTACAATCTTGCTACATGAGCAAGCGAACGGATTCACCTTGGCGCAATTATGGACATAGTGAGACCATTTGCAGAAGGATCAGTTATAGACTCATTAACTGGAAGAACTCTACGTACAGCAAATATTGCTGGCTGCTTTGGTTCGAGAAGATCAACTGATTCACTTCCAAGCAATACAACCACAGCTGACATGGTTGGTCTTTCTGCAGGGTCTTCCTGGACGCACAAAAGCGCAATGTGCATGCATCTCAAAACCTCTGCTTTTGTGCAAGATTCCATCAACAAAGGTTCCACAAATTCCAATTCTTTTCCTGCCTTCCATAGTCTCCATGCCTGTCGATTGTTTAAGCAGAATTATGTCTTATGAAATTATAAACTAATTAGTTAAGTAAGACTAGTAATCAAAGTAGACAATGAAACGTACGTATGCAATGAGTGTCTTGGCATGTTCCGTAAGGTAGAATCCACTATTCCATTTCCCACTAATGATCTCAAGCAAGATTACACCGAAGCTGAAAACATCAGATTTTACAGAAAATAGACCCTCCATTGCATACTCTGGAGCCATGTATCCATTGTTTCATGTATGAGCATTATTAGCAATGTTCACTTCTCACGTAGAATCAAAACTTGTGGCCGGAATTGATATATAGGATTCTAAATTAAATAAATGTAAACAAGCATACTCACTATGTTCCCACAACTCTTCTAGTTTTAGTGGGGTTCTGACGTTCACAAAATATCCTTGCCAAGCCAAAGTCTGATATTTTGGCAACCATTTCATGGTCCAACAATACATTGCTGGGCTTTAAATCCCTATGAATGATTCTAAGCCGGGAGTCTTCATGAAGATACAGAAGTCCTCTGGCAATACCTTCAATAATGTTGTAGTATGTTTTCCAATTGAGTTCAGCTCGTCTTTCGGAATCTGAAATTCAGCAGTAAATAAAGGTTTAGCGTTTAGATTTAAGGGTAAAGAAGCATATTTAAATGTGATTGTGCGAAATGATTGATATAAGGGCAAGAAACATTAGGCAGAAGGGTGGACAAAACATACCGAAGATAAAAGTATCAAGGCTTTTATTTGGCATGAACTCATACAAAAGCAGCTTTTCCTCTCCTTCAAAGCCGCATGCCAAGAGCCGCACAAGGTTTCTGTGTTGAAGTTTTGCAATGAGTATGACCTCATTTTTAAACTCCTCCAAGCCTTGCCATGATTTTCTTGACAGTCTTTTAACAGCTACTTCCTTCCCATTTTGTAGCAAACCCTGTGAAATAATATTTTTAAAATCAGATGAGATGCATGTTTCGGGACTTTGGTCCGAGGAATCTATTAGTACTGTACCCCAAGATGGTGCATTACCTTGTAAACAGTGCCAAACCCACCTTGTCCAAGCTTGTTTGAATCTGAAAAGTCATCTGTAGCTACCCTAATAGCAGCTAGATCCATGAAGGCCAGCTCCTCAGAACTTGTCAATTGTCTATCTTCTGTGATCGTGACGCTGGTCGGGCTTGCCAAATCATGTAATAGTACATGCTGGCTGTTTTCTTCATCCGCACACAATAAATTTCAGTTGGTAATCTTACATAAATTAATTCATTAGCATCAGCCATGTTTCCATCTAATGTACCTTTTAATTCTTCTAATCCCTTTTTCCGCTGGCGATGGACATTACAACAGACAATGAGAAATGCTAATAGAAAAGTTGATGCACATATAAGCACCACCTTCAACGTCTTCCGTTTATCTCCTGCTTTTTAATGGAAAGAGTTGCTTACCATGGCTCTTCACACACAGATGATTATGAACGAAAAAAAAAAAGGAAACAAAATTTTTATGTGCTAACCTTCGGAATATGGGTAAATTAACAGAGAGCTTGACATGTCGTCAAAAAATCGGAACATCTCAAACCTCACATTGCAATTCCTACCCACAACGGCACCACCTTGGCTAGAAGAGCAGCAAGCCCAAAGATCCCCTAAAGCAGAAACCAAACATGTTTTGCAGTTACTTTCAGAGATGTCTCTCGTGCACTGTTGCAGACCATAAATATTTTTTTTCCCTGAAAATTTTACTTCCCCAGTTGCAAACATATTCTTAGAAGGATTAAAGGCAGCCTCATCGGACAGGTTTTTCATCAAATAAATCAAAACATGACTAAAGCTGCCCGGATTTGACACTCTCTTCTCCCGACTATCCTGCTTTGGATAATTTCCAACGTAAACCATCAATGAAAAGAACATCTGGAAGGAATAGCGGACTTGACATACTTCGTACCATATCATTGCGTCATTCGTATTACAACTCTTGAAAAGCTCCTGGCTTGCCTCATAGACGCAATTTCGACAAACTGTAGAGTTCACATCCCCTCTACAAAGTGCTTGTCCATAGACTCTGTCAGTGTTATTTCCAATAGTGGTGTTGTAGAAACCGCCAGAGATTGAAGTGTTTGAAGACAATGACTCAAGTAGCTGCTTCAGATTATTCTCAAATTGGCTATTAGGAGTGTAGTTTCTGGCAGTAGGTGAACAAAAAATGGTAGGATCTACACCAGAGAGGGTGGCAGGGATTGCTAGTTGTATAATCATGAAAAGCAAAACCGAAACTTTTGTCCATTTTCCAAATATGGAGCACAGTTGGATACAAAGTTAGCCCGAAACAAAACCTAACATTGTATTATTAGGAGATTAGAAGTTGATTAATCAAAGCCTTTGGCACCTTGGATGCATACAATTCTTTATATCCATATTACGGTTCATACGGTTACTGTACATTACTGTTCTAAGGTATGTACATTCTCAAAATACTTGATGAAACAGTCATTATTTTAGAGTTGATTTCTAGCTACAGGGACTGGCTAAACAAGCAATTGGTTGGTTTAAGAGACTGACTTCAAAATTCTGAACATTATAATATTTTGTTTTCACCATTATAATTGAAGAGACAAGACATGAAATTACTAGCAAAGGGTATGAACTTAGCATAGAATGCGGCACGAAATTACAACATTAGGGGTGAATTAAAAATAATATTCGGGATATGTGGGTGATTACATCAGAAGCACAACAAGGTGCTTACATAAGAAACAATTATTTTTCTTTAAATACTAGTTATGTCTATTAAGTCAGATTTGAATCTCCGGATATTTGAATTAAAAAGCTTAATGATTAGATGCTCGGTCTATAAGTCAAAGGCCTTTGATGAAACACATGTTTCATGGAAGACGTCAACTTTTGGTTTCCTTAATTTTAATTTATATCAAATCATGTAATAATTACTAATCTTATATAGTTATAAAGTGGATTCAGTCCAAAGCTGATATCACAGCTTTTGTTTTTATGTTAAGATAACTACTACTCCTAGATTTGGTTTGATTCTATTACACTCAGTTGGGCAATGCCACAGGTTGGTACAGAGGTTGACTGAGAAATGCATTAAGAAAATTTCAATACAAGAAGCATCATCATGGTCATCAAATATAATTCAGTTATATTCAGGTCAAATTGACGAGTACAAGAAGACAAAAAGTTGATTCTAATTATTAAACCATTTGGTCTTAGAAACGTGTATCAGCTACCATTATTTTGGCTTATTATGACTGCAGCCTAAAGCACGTGTTTATGCATTGACAAACATCTAAACCCGAGAAGATAAATGGAAATCCATTAGCAACTGGAATCCACTAGAAAATAGAGAAATTTTTTTTTCTATGTGAGAGAGTAGTGTTGAAATAGCCTCATATCCTTTCCATAGGAGTATTCATTTGTTTTTTCTTTTTTCACCAACATCAACTAGAAGGAGTAGTTGTTAATTTGATATAGGAAAGAGCGGTTTTTATAATTAATGAAGAGAATGGTGAAGTTTTATTGTCTTTATAATCAACTACTGGTCATTAATAGAAGGCAACCTCTAGAAAAAGTCTGATGTGCTTCCAAGGTCTTAATTCACCTTATAAACTTGGCAGCCGATGTTTTTGCAAACCTTGCTAATCAGTTGCTCAATGTTTCTTTGCTTGACCTTGTTGCTTAGAGTTCTTTTGGAAGTTTAGTATGATAGTTTTCCTTCTGCTGTCAACAAATTTACAATCCTTTGGACCTTCTAATAATAATAATAAGAGCATCCAAAATGGGCTCTCTAAATCACCTCCTTAGACAAATTTTAAAGAGGATTTGGAAAAATACAACTCCAACCATGCTCCCTATCCACCTCCTAAAATAGAGAGACCTCTAGGAGCTCCTAAATCTAAGGAGAGAGAAAGGACTTCTAGTAGTGGCTCCCTATAATTTAATGTTGCTTTATTTAATGAGTATTTCAAACCTTTAATTAATGTTAATTATTTTTTGTACTATTTTTAAATAGAGATTGACCAATTAAAAAAGAGTTATAGCATTTATGACTCCCTAAACTAGAGAGCATGATTGGAGTTTAAATTTTATAGAGAGCTCCTAACATAACTTTTATATGTTTTTAGCTAAAATTTAACTAGAAAATAGAGAGCATGGTTGTGGATGCTCTAAGAAGGATTATTTCTTTTTCGCATCATAGATTTCTGTACTCTATTTTTGACATTCTCTTTTACTTTGTTGCAGTGAAGTTAGGTAACTTTTCCCCTTGTAACCTAAATTGATAATTGGGTCACGACAAGAGAGATCGTTTAATCTTCTTCTTTTGTTTAGAGGAACGGATCATGGAAGTAGCCCAATCTGAGTGAACCTTTCTTATCAAACAATACTGGGGAAGAGAGATTCGAATTCGGTGTTCGGGTAAATGTTCTTAACCCGTAGAGCTACAAGTTCCCCACAGCTGTTTTCTGGATTTTTATTACTTGTGTTGAATTTAGAGCTGGCAATCTTGAGCTAGGATTTTGATGCCCTAAAATTCCTAAAATAGAGTTAAATGATCTATGTGCAGTTCCCACAATAACTTAGTTATGTCCGAAATTCGAAATGCAAGGTGGAAAAGAGAAGGTATATTGTTCAATTATTGCAATTCAAAATTTATTTGATACACATCATCATTTAACTTGTTGTCTCTCTAATGAAATGCTTTAAGTCAACAGCAGATACACAAATTAAACTTGGTGCTTGGCCAGCATCACGATTTCCATGCATAGCTCCACGGATCAGCTCCCTTACCGTGGCACAACATTAGAAACTGATTGTTCATTGATTGAGCTAATATGATCAGCCCTCATCTCATAATGATCAGCAAACCTTCCTGTAGAGAAAGCAGGTTTTCCAGGTTGGCCAAGAACTACTGTTTCACTTTTCAACATGACAACAACATAAGACATAGTTGGCCTGTCATCCGCATCTTCTTGAACACACAACAATCCAATATGGAGATATCTTAAAAATTCATCGGCGTCACATGAATCAACCAGTAACGGATCCATTAGCTCTAGCCCGTTTCCTTCGTTCCATAATTGCCATGCCTGCATATCATCACTCAATGGGATAAACATCAATAAGCTTTGAGAATGAGAAAGTGTAATGCAGTCTAAGCCAGCAAACGTACATATGCTATGAGGCTAGGAACGCGTCTTATCAGATGAAAGCCAGCGTTCCTTCTCCCAGTTATGATCTCAAGCAAGAGTACTCCAAAGGCAAAAACATCGGACTTCACGGAGTATAGTCCCTCCATTGCGTATTCTGGAGCCATATATCCACTTTTCCAATACAAAATTCCAAAACATATTATAAATCTGTAGAAATCAAATAATATGGTTTTATTGAAAACTTAGAAATCAAGCACTTACTAAGTGCCAACTATTGTAGCAGTACTAGCTTCTCCTTCACTTCCTACAAAGATCCTTGCCATGCCAAAGTCTGAGATCTTTGGATTCATGTCATTGTCTAACAATATATTGCTAGCTTTAAGGTCTCTATGGATGATTCTAAGTCGAGAGTCCTCATGCAAATAAAGAATCCCCCTTGCAATCCCACTGATAATGCTTATGCGCCTGCTCCAATCAAGTCGTGCACGTTTCTTTGAATCTGACCATCCATCATAAGAAAAGAAGTCATACATTAATTAAGAATTTTTTTTCAAAACAGAAAATCTTGACCAATTTGTGCTTAAGTTTGCCTTAGTAATTGAAATTCAAAGGGTAAACAGAAATTAACAAACCAAAGAGGATGACATCTAGGCTACTATTTGGCATGAATTCATATGCAAGGAGCTTCTCTTCTCCATCTACGCAAAAACCGCAAAGCCGGACAAGATTTTTGTGCTGAAGTTTCATTATCAGTAGAACTTCATTTGTGAATTCCTCTAAACCTTGCTCGGACAAGCTTGAAAGCCTTTTGATTGCCACTTCCCTTCCATCATTTAGTATACCCTGAGAAATTACCACCCGATTCTCTTTCATGTCACAAAAATACTAAGCAAGCGCATGTGCAAGATTTTCATAATTTATTAAACGAAACAAAGTCAATACCTTGTAAACAGGACCAAAACCACCTTCTCCAAGCTTATTTGAATCAGAGAAGTTGGAAGTAGCTGCATGTATAGCTGCCAAACTGATATAAGGGTCCTGAGCTTTTCGATAATTTCTTCCTGGAAAAAAAAAAAAAAAAACCTGTTTTAAGAAAACAATTAGGACGTTAAAGTTTTTTTTTTCTTCATAATTAAGCATAACTACCTTCTTTATTTCTTTTTCTCACTGCAAGATAGACACAGGAACCCAAAAGTAGTATTGCCAGGCATGCTGACACAGTTGTAAGGATTGTGATCAACAATATTTTCCTGCGGCTACCTGCATGTATATGGAAGCCATTCATTAATTTCGGTTCATCATGGATTTCCCATGCCGTGAAGGGTATGATAATATATGCACAATTTTATTACGTCAAATATTAGGAGATTTGTACCATTCTTATTTGGAGAGCGAGGCACAGAAGCTTCGGATTCTCCGGCAGTGTAGAAGGCGTATAACTCAAACCTCAGATAGCAACTACGACTCATAAGTCTTGCACCAACGGAGAAATAATACAATGTTAAAACGTCTTCTTTGGCTTTCACAAGGCATTTATCACAGTTATCTCTAGATAAGTCGGTAGTGCACTGCACAAAAGCATATATCAGTTTATCTTCAAAGGCTACTTCTTCAGTAGCATGCATCTCAGCAGCAGAGAGATTATAAGCCGCTTGCTTAGCGAGGCGATTCAACGTCTCATTCAAAACAGACTTGAACTTTTTCGGGTCTGAAATATTCTGTGAATTCTCGTCGGCGATGTTGTCTCTTACATTCAATCTGCCGAAGAAATTCTCATTGGAGTAGCGTAATAGGCAGGAATCCTCCCACACAACCGCTTCTTTTGAGTGTGGACAAAGCGTCTGCATGTCTGATTGCGCGGTGTTTATGCAGCGACGACACATTTCATTCGCGACATAGTCAAAGCACATATAGAGGCCATATACTCTGTCAGGATCATTTCCAGTGGACGTATTGTAATACTTGGAAACAGAAGCATTCGAAGGTAAAGAAATGAGAAGATCGGCGAAGTTTTTGTGAAACCGACTGTTATCTGTATAACTAACATTTGAGCATTTCCAATATGGAGGGGCGGCATTGTTGACTATTGTCTCAAAAGCAATGTTGCTTTCGGTGACTTTGTTTATTTGAAAACCTGTTGCTGCCTTATTGTATTGTTAATATTGGAGCACTAATGTTAGACAAAGTGAATTGGCAGAAGGTGCCTTATTGTATTGTTAATATTGGAGCACTAATGTTAGACAAAGTGAATTGGCAGAAGGTGCCTTATTGTATTGTTAATATTGGAGCACTAATGTTAGACAAAGTGAATTGGCAGAAGGTGCCTTATTGTATTGTTAATATTGGAGCACTAATGTTAGACAAAGTGAATTGGCAGAAGGTGCCTTATTGTATTGTTAATATTGGAGCACTAATGTTAGACAAAGTGAATTGGCAGAAGGTGCCTTATTGTATTGTTAATATTGGAGCACTAATGTTAGACAAAGTGAATTGGCAGAAGGTGCCTTATTGTATTGTTAATATTGGAGTTATATTCTTGAGTGTGTGAGCTT